CCCTTTGAGGCAAGCCCTCCTCCACCATTATTTTGTTTGTTGACCAGATTACTTGGCTGTAAAGGAACTCTGGGAGCGGGTCCCTCGAACTGAGAGGGTGCTTTCAGCCATGTGCCATACGGGAGATTCTCTCCGGGGTCCACAAAGTTTTCTTCGTAACGGAGTGGGCATCTCGACTCACCGTGCCCTAAAATCCCACAAAGGAAACAAAAATTGGGCAGCCGCTCGTACTTGAATTCGATCCATGTGCTGGTGCCGTGGTGGGAGTGGAGATAGGTTCCCCGTTGGAGCCGCTTAGATACATCCAGAGATAATTTGACTCTGATGAATTCTTGCGTATGTATCTGTTTTTCGTTGAGGACTTGGCCAAATTTTCCAATTTTATTCGCTATTTGCGCTGCCACTTCTACGGTTTTTTGTCCAGCGGGAATCTGGTACATGCGGACGACAATATGCATAGAATTAACCTCCACTTCCATCGGGTTTTCAGATCCAGATAATTCGTGGAAGATAAGAGCTTGCCGGTCCAATAACCACGGGCAGCCTCCTATGGCATGTTGTTTATCAAGGCGATGGTTAAAGTGTAATAAGATTCGGTTGGGACTCAACGACTGAATCTCACAGCCCTTCACTGGTGCAATCAGTCGAATAACATTGGATCGGATGGTATGAAAAGAGATTTCTTTATCGGAGATCACCCTGCCCACTAAACTATTCTTGGTTTCAGAAACCATAGCCTCGTTTACTTGTACGTCAATGAGGACTCCTTCTTCCTCCTCGGCGGTGAGGGTGATTTTCTTAGCCAGCGATTCAGTCAAGCTATCCATAGAGAGGGAGCGATGGGTTTCGGTGAATCAGAGAGAGTCGGCGATCTCTGGTGCTGCTAGGGAATAAGATCTGGGAGGAAAATGAAAAATGATGAGTAGGGGGTTAGGGTTAGGGTTAGGGTATAAAACAAAGACACGCAAACGACAAATAAAGAAAGCGCCTCACAGTAAAATAAACGAGAAACCTCTAAGATCCCAGCCCTAGATTTATCACATAAAATTTAATATAAAGTAAAGCCGACGATCGAGAATTATGAATGAATGATACGGAAACATTAACATTTGCAGATCTAAAGAAATTGATTAAGTGTTTTTGTCATTGGACTATTTGCAATTTTACGCATTAATTAATTATTCAACAACTCCCCAAATAAAACACTAAAAATAGGTACTAGAAGAAAATTATGTGCCAGAAACTATTTTTTGTTCCACACACCACGAATCATGTTCCATACATACCATCATACAAAAAATAGAAGTGCAAATATTGCTATACAAAATTACTTATACTAACCTGTAATTAACATTACTCTTTAGTAAAATGCTAAGTTGCTTAAGTTGCTAGTGGTACATCGTTCGTTAAACTTGTGAACAGTCGTCCTAGATATGAAAGTACTCACATGGCAACCACTGAACAAGCAAAGATCTCGAATCTTGATAAATTTTACCGGAAATTATGCTGATGCTTTCTTGAACGTGAAATGGTAATATGAGATTCATACTATGCTACATCTGATGAAATACACGAGTGATTCTTTACCATTCATAAGCACACAAGCACACAAGCACACTCTTTTCCATATTGGTGTGTGTAGAGCAACGGTAAAAA